GTTGAGCAACACTGAACCTCGTTCTGACCCTAATCCTGAGACACCTCCTGTTCCAGACCCGGATGCCTCTCTTGATCTACCCATTGCCCTTCGCAAAGGTAAACGTACTTGTGCCCATCCTATTTCGTCCTTTGTTTCATATGACCGCTTGTCTCCTGTGTCCAGTTCCTTTGTTGCCTCCCTAGATACTATCTCTGTGCCCAGAACTATTCGTGAAGCCTTGGCCCACTCAGGTTGGCGTGCTGCAATGGAAGAGGAGATGGCGGCCCTTGATCGAGCTGGTACATGGACCCTGGTCGATTTACCGGCGGGTAAAAAGGCCATTGGATGTAAATGGGTGTTAACTCCGAAAACTAAGGCTGACGGCACACTTGACCGCCTTAAGGCTCGCCTTGTGGCTAAAGGTTATGCACAAACCTATGGCATTGACTATTCCGAAACCTTTTCTCCTGTTGCTAAGCTCTCATCTGTCCGTCTGTTCATCTCTCTGGCTGCTACTTATGATTGGGATCTACATCAATTAGACATTAAAAATGCATTCTTACATGGTGATCTTCATGAAGAGGTCTATATGGAGCAACCACCTGGGTTCGTTGCTCAGGGGGAGCATGGGAAAGTATGTCGCCTTAAGAGGTCCTTGTATGGTTTGAAGCAAAGCCCTCGTGCATGGTTTGACCGGTTCAGTACTGTCGTACAGAAATTTGGCATGAGCCAAAGCAAGTGCGATCATTCTGTATTTTATCAAAGAACAGCGGCTGGCATGATTCTCTTGGTGGTATATGTAGATGACATTGTGATCACAGGCAGTAATGGTTCGGGCATCTCGTCCCTCAAGTCCTTTCTTAATTCCCACTTTCAGACGAAGGATCTGGGCTCTCTGACATACTTTCTAGGTATTGAAGTTATGCGAAGCAAGAAGGGCATATTACTGACACAGCGCAAATATGTTCTTGACCTCCTGAAGGAAACTGGAAAGTTGGGAGCAGCACCGACCAAGTTTCCTATGGTTCACAACCCACTCCTTGACGCTGATGGGAGCATACCACTCGATGATTCTCTTGATGATGAGAAACGGATGCTTGAGGCTCAGAAGAGCAAACCATTTGAGAATCCTGAGAGGTACAGGAGAATGATTGGCAAGTTAAACTATCTCACTGTAACTCGTCCGGATATTACTTATCCAGTCAGTGTACTAAGCCAGTTCATGGCATCCCCGACTGTCAGACAGTGGGAAGCCTTGGAGCACGTGTTACATTATTTGAAGGGATGTCCAGGTCGTGGGATATTATACAAAAATCATGGCCATACAGACATTGAGTGCTTCTGTGATGCAGATCATGGTGGATCAAAGGCCACGAGACGGTCTACTACAGGATACTGTGTCTTTGTGGGCGGGAATCTGGTGTCCTGGAAAAGCAAGAAACAAAATGTGGTGTCCAGATCGAGCGCAGAGGCAGAATACCGAGCTATGGCACAGTCTGTATGTGAGATAATCTGGATATATCAGCTATTAAAGGAAGTTGGCCTCAAAACCACTTTGCCAGCAAAGTTGTGGTGTGACAATAAGGCTGCCCTACATATAGCCTCCAATTCTGTGTTCCATGAACGTACCAAACATATTGAGATTGATTGTCATTTTATCAGAGACAAGCTTAAGGAGAACTTCATCTCCACTGGATATGTGCGTTCTAGTGATCAATTAGGCGACCTTCTCACTAAAGCTCTAAATGGGACTCGTGTTGACTATCTGTGTGACAAGTTGGGCATGCTTAACATTTATGCTCCAACTTGAGGGGGAGTGTAGAGATATGATATGATTTGATATGTAAATATTATGTAATTATGATTAGGATTTGATAGGATATGATATTATCATAATGGGCCATTAATGCAGAGGCTCCTCTCACTTGTATATATATGTGTATATTCTGATCAATGAAATACAAGAGAATTATTTTCCATATTATTCTATTTCCTATATTTGTAACTCTTAACTACGGATATAAGGTTATTCATGACAGATCAAATATGTATTAAATAAATGAAGCATATAAGTACCATAAAAGGCAAAATCGATCCATTAGAAAGGCCAGTGCTCTACCAAAAATCATCACCAAAAAACTTCGACTATTATGCGATGGATTACTAAAGTGATAACATTAATTGAGAACTGTTACGTGTTATTCAAATTGTTTCCCTATGCTCCTAAAACAGAGGAGAGAAGTGAAGCGTGAGAATATTCTTGTGAGTCACCAATAATTGCCTATAAGGCTGATTAACTAAAGAAATGAGCAGGAAAAAGGAACTTCTGAAAAAACCAGGTTCAAATCAACTTCTGGCCTTTAAGTGATATGAGTCAACAGCTTTGCCAAACACAACCATCTTGGCCTAAACATGTTTAACCCTCTAAAACTCACTGATTTTAGATCCAATCGCCCTTCCGAACACATATTAAATGGGTCAACGTTTTCTGGTCCATAAGCTCAGTTTCAATTTGAATAAACTCCTCAGATTAGCTTATCCAAAATGTACGTTTGCATCTGGCTTTTGATCTCCTATCAGATACCCCAACAGCCCTCCCAAACAGTCCATGATTTTCCAATTAGGCTTAATGTAAAAATAAGCTACTTTTGGGCCAGAAAACATTGACCCAAACAAGCACTAAAAAAATAAGTTAAGTTAGTTATTTGTAATAAATATGTGTTGTTTTTTCTAAAATATCTTTACTAATTAAGTGTATCAGTTATAATTATTATTAAAAGGACTACCTTGAAAAAAAATAGATAAGCATGAGAAATAAAATAGATTAGGGTCTTATATTTAGGATTAAAATAAAAGTAAAATAAAATCGTATATTAAAAAGCGCAGGTAGTAATTTAAAATATATATATAAAAAAAAAAGCATAGCCAAACTTAAGCAAGTCTAGGCTGTTCTTGCGTAGTCTTCAGCTATATTCGAAAACTATACATCCTCTTTGCTGTTTGTTCTCCACATGATCTGTTTATACATACATTGTGCTGTTTGTTCTCTACATGATCCGTTTATACATACATTGCACATAGGGGTATCCTAGTGTCATCCAAGGGAAAATCATGGTAGAAAAAATAATTAATAAAAAAATCTCAATGACAGGTATGCAGTATGGATTTGTTGCCATTTCCTTATTGAAACTTGTTATTCACTTATTATGAAATTTTTTTATAATTACATTTATTTTTTGAAGCCCCATAGTAATTTTCTCTTTTTTTATTTTTACTATAAAATATTATGCAATGTAAGGATAAAAATAAATAATCGGTCTGACTAGACGACTCTAGGATGTCTACTTTTACGTCTATAATCTTTAAATTCCATTATCATCATCATCATCTTGTTTATGATAATAACACACGAATCTGCATATTTATTTCTTCTTTGTTCAAAACGCTCAGTTTCATAGTACAGTGTTAAAAAAAAAAAAAGTTCATGCTGCTTTGGCGTACTTTGGGCATATTTTATATTATTAGGCTAACTGAGGCTTAGCATATTTTAATTGCATAATTAATCAATTACTGTTTGATTTATTATTGCCATTTTTATTTTGAGATACAGGGGTGCAGTTGATTCTCATTTTGTTTGCAGAGAAATTCATCCAACATATGACGAATTTGCAGCTCACGGTGGTTTTGTGGTTTTAATTTTAATATTTAGTTCGAATTTCTCATCTCTCCTGTGATTGTGACTTGTGATTTTGAATTATACTGTTTCAGTAGTTTTGAATTTGCATGACTAAATTTCTAATTATATTTATCTGAGAGTCTCTTCGGATTTATCCCTAAGTTATATATCTATTTATTTTCTGTTTATTCCCCTATTTATTTTGCATTTTATATATTTATATTCTCTTGTATGCTCAAACAATAGAATTGTCATTCTCTACACGAGTTGTTAAGAAAATTGGCACATTATTTTAATATGGGAAAAATATAAATCCTTAAATTTATATATTTAGTATACTTTTATGAAATCAAATGAGAATAAAAATAACTAACAAGTGATTAGTCAAAATGGTAAGTAATCTCACCTTTTATAAGGATGAGAACACAAATTCGATTTTCAAAAAGCGTCCTCGTCAATAGAGTCAACCCATTAAATGACGCATTCTATCTCCTTAAACTCGGATTAGTTGGCTGCTTGGATTCCTGGCCCAAAGAAGGTCAGGTCCATTTAAGGTGCTGGATATTGGGCGGGTGAAGTACCCCCGTATCACCGAAAAAAAAGAGAATAAAAGTATAGGGAGAATTATAATCAAGTTCTAAAAAAGACATAATTACTAATAGGTTCTAATAACAACCTAAACAGTTTGTAATGACAAATTCTTCCCAAATATACTTTTATTACTTGAAAAGCATCAACAACATCAATAATAAAAGTTAAAATTTCGCACTCCACACTGCAAGTAGTATCTCAACTTTATGAGGTGACTATTTTGAGTTAAAATTTTTTAGTTATTGAGTAATTTAAATTTAAATTATTTGAAGTTAAATATGTACATTCCTCAAATATTTTCTTTCCCTCCCATTTTGTTTTAACCAAACAAAAGAATGAGAGCACCTCATCTCCATCTTTTTTGAACAAACGACACTTCCCCCCAACTAACCAAACTGTTACTCTTTGCATCTCTCTTTCTTTCAACTTTAGAAGCGTTTAAAATTCAAAGAATTATCCTAAAATGCATTAATTATTCAAGCGTTTACCAGTAATAGTAAACTAATACTATACAGCACTCTTCATCATATGGAAGCATTAATACAACAAGTACTACAGACAACCAGAGCAGCCACTACTGCTTAAATCCCAGATCCATTGAAAAGTGCCTTCTTAAACTAATTAGAAACAGAGGATATGTAGGGGTTCTCATTAATTTGTGCGTTAGACTGACAATAGCTAAAGACGAAATGAGTAGGCTTACAAAACGGGTACCTAATACGCCTAAAGAATAACATCTACTCCTTTTATGGCTGTAAATCCCTCCTCCCATGATGACATTTTCATGCTGCTTTCTGCATTATGATAATTCAACGAATTTAAACACACAGATTAGTGCTACAACATTGAAGACTAGCAGTTTCAAATGTGGGGGGCATCTCATACCTGCATTGGAAGGTACAACTTGAATTCTGGCGGGAGCTCCTCTTCAGAGTAGAGGCGATCGGAGAAATATATCCTTCTCAGGCGGCAGTTTGCATGGACCTGAACTCGCAGAGTCTCCATGTAGTTGGTGCCATAAGCTCTCTTGGTCAAATCAACCAGGTTCAACTGGATTTGATTCCAGCCGTCATCCATTTTCAGTGGCATGGTGCAAATGTACGGCTTCACTCGAGTCACAGCCTACATGATGTGGAAACAATCAATCGTGTATGTGGATCTTCGAGAAAATCTATATATAGTATAAACAGGAAAAACTCTGACAAGTCATACTATTCGTGAGCTATGAACACTATGGACTTGTTTCTCACTTCCTATCACGCATTGGACCCAAACTAATTTTAAGACATAGACGGTATCTATGCGTGGCCATGCAACTAGCTATATATTTATACACCAGTAACAGTTTTTGTATTCAATAAAGGGCCATCTTTTGCAATGACAGAGTTAGTGATTTAAAAATAACAGGACAAGCTGATTGAGTAGAACACAACAACTAATTTTTATCCCGTAATTGAATTACTAAAATCATGCGACGAAGAAAATGACATTTTTATTCTCTCTTCACTTGTGCAAGTAAAAACATTCAAATTCTATTCTAACACAACAGGAAGTAGGATTGTGTTCTCCTGCATTATTCTCACATGGAATAAGTTGCCAACAGCAAACTGAGAATGTCAAATTCTAAAAGTATAAATAAGACAATATAATACACATGAATTCACGTTAATATACCCCTTAATCTATTTGAGAGCGCAAGCAATGTTGATGAATTAATTTCATCACAAACGAAGGTAATGAGAGCAAAGACGTGTTTTCTCTTTAAAACCAAGACTCTTCTCAAACTTTCTAACAAGTACAGCAACCAGAAAAGTCATCATGCCAAAATACTACTAATAAAAAATCTCTTCACGGAGGATAAGGACACAATCAGGCACCAAAACACACAAAGGAAAATTTGAACGCCTGCAATATCTTTAGGAAAATCAACAAAAAGCAAAAACAAGGGCAAACTTACAGACTTGGAAATTTGAAGCCCGAAATCTTCGTCTCACATTCTTATCATCCAGAATTTGAATCTCAAATGTAAAGTACTTCTTTAGATTCTTCACAATCATAACCAAGAACGGAAGTTTTATACCAAGTGTTGCAGCTGGATCTGCAGGACATGTGATGTATGTGGATTGGATATTGGATCCAACTATTTCAAGTACATTGGACTGTATGTCTTCATCCTGTGGTCGTTTTATATGGCCATTGACAACTATAAAATAAACCCCACACAATATATAAGTCACACGGCATTTTAATCTGGTATAGACCAAGCAAGGGGGAAAAAAGGTACCCTCAAGAACATCAGAGATAAAAACGCTTCCTTGTTTTTCAAAAACATATTTATATAAGTTTTTATTAAGGAGTTAGGCAAAGCTTTTAAATAATAACAATAATAATTCTTTGTTTCTGAGCTGTTGCAGATGCACTTTTTTCGACAGAACGCAATATTCATATGACAATAAATGAATTTTAATAATAGAGAAAAATTGGCATTATGACTCAACTTCCTGATGATTGCAAGACAATTGATTGCAAAACTAGCTCTAAATATTATCATTGGATATTGCAAACCATAAAACACTCACCTTCCTTATCCCATATCTGTAGAGGTTTACTCCTATAAAATACAAGCAAATAAGAATGTCAACATCGTCATATAAAGTATTCAACATTGAACTTTGAAACAAGTATTATAGACCAGAATACTACATACCCAAGGCTATATAAGATGGAAAGAAATCCAGACTGGAATGTATTCTTAAACATTTTCTGCAATATCAAAAGCCAAAGCAATATCAACATGACGACACCAAAAAATTAAAATCCCAACACCAGCTTTCCAACCCAAAAAAAGAAACACGCACCCCTTAACAATTTCACCAACAACCTGATCCACAAAAGAACAGAAACTATTTGGATAAAAGAGAGAAAAATGCGACTGGATTCAAGGGATGCACAATAGACAAACCAGACCAGGTCAGTGGGTGATCCATGGTTTGGTTTGAAAATAGGTTCAGGCTGGACAAGGCTGTCCGTTATCTAGTACAGCCTGAGCTTAGCCTGGCACAAAACTCAGCTGGACTTGGGGAACCGGTCCACCAGACCAAGACTGTTTTTCCCCTTTCAAAAGATTTGGACCTTTACAACCTCATGAAACGGTTTAAAATTTTAGATTTTGTAACATCATAGAATATAAGAAAGGTGAAATTTTAAAGAACAATAAGCCAAGAAAAGTAACTTCAGTTAGAAACTAATTTCATAACCGAATATAAGTGTAGAATTAGGAAAAAAAACACAAATAGAAAGATATGAGCAGATTGGAGGCATTAAAATTGAATTCGTTGTATAAACATTTGAATCAGTCTACATATTAGTTCCTTTGTAGAAGAAGAGACCTCATGCATCATTTACAAAAATCCATCACAATCTTTTGAAACTCTGGTATTTCCTCCTCTAGCCAAGTAGCGCAACAGTTAATATTCATTTAAGGTTCACCATAATCATTTGAAAACGATAACGGTAGCATCAGGATCAAGGTAAACATAATCATAGGGAGGACTTATATTACATGCTCCCACTGAAATCTTTGAAATACGCACAGTTGATATAATAAACACTTTAACGAAGATGCCCTAGTAAGCCAATTGATTTGGGCAACTCCTCCAAGCCACGGAAGAATCACAATGATCACACTCTCGCTTTTATGGTCTTCCAATTAATTAAAAATGAAAAAAATTAAAACAAATCAAGAAACCTTGCGACAGCGGCCGACGCAGGGTTGTCGATGAACACATATGACTTGGGGAACAAATTCAATTCAATTCTAAATTCAAAGTCAGGTTGGACAAATCAAACTCACCGGATTTTGGGACAAGACAAAGCCCTAGGGTTCGTACCTTCTTCAGACGGAGAACAACCACGTAGGGCTGACGACGACGGACGGCGTCCCACGGCGAGCTTGACAAGTGTAGAATGCCAAACGAAATATGAATCTGCTGCCCCCACCACCAGACGAGAGGGTACCTTTGTTGGGGTTATAAAATTGAATCAAATCAGATTAAATCCTTTCCTAGTAATTAGTAAATTGTGGACACATGGCATCTGCGCGACCTATATTTTTTAAACAGGGTCAAGCTGCGCCCAGCATCCCGAATTATTTTCCCAGATACATCTAGTGTCCCAAAGTAATTCTTGGTGCATCTAGTGTCCCAAACTAATTAAAACGGTATATCCATATCCTGGGCTAACAGAAAAGTTAAGTTTGACCGTTAGTTGACCGAAAAATCTGACGTGGTGGACACATAGGCGTCTAATGTGTATTATCTTGACAAGTTAAGGTGAGCCCAACATCCTAAACTATTTTCCCAGGTATGCCCAATGTCATAAAGTAATTTTTGGTACATCCAGTGTCCCAAACTAATTAAAACGGTGCATCCACATCCTAGGCTAAAACGGTTCGAAAAATCTGACGTGGCGGACACGCAGGCGTCTGATGTGTATTATTTTGACTGAAAATTCAATTTATTTCCTCCTCTTTTACCATTTATCTTCTGCCAGTTTTTAAACTTAAAAAAAAAAAAAAAGACCACCGATCTACCCTCTTAAATCCTGGTACATATACCACTCATTCCATCACATCCTTGTCTTTAACATTTTATCCCATTTCTTCCACCACTCTGATTTGAAACCACAACTGCTGTTACAGCACACTTCCATCTTCATCTCTGTGGACTCCTCATTCGACTCGCATTTGTTTTCCTCCTCGTAGAACATAGTAAACTTCCCCTTAGTCACTCCATCGATATCATTGTCGCCTTCTGAGAAAACACCCGCCACCACCAGGCTCGTCTCGGGAGCTTTAGTCAAAATAATACACATCAAACGCTTGCATGTGTGACAACCGCTCTTTCAAAACCATTTTAGATTAAATCCAACAATTTATTTGAATGATTAACCATGATAGAAAAGAAGAAAACTTAAAATTTTAAAATCGCTATCATGGTTAAAAGAAATAAACTTATAATAAGAGTAACATCGATCGTTACCTTGGGCCTTGGACTTCCAAAGTCCAGAAACATCATTCAACCATTAGCCCAAACCAACTTATATTTTCAACATACGAACTGATAAATCAGTTTAATATAAACTATAGAGCTCATTAGTCAAAAGTCAACACTTTCAAAGGAGCGTTACACGTAGAGTCTAGAATGTCTCGGGCCTCCTCACGCCCTATCATACCAGATAGTAGTAATTAAAAGTATTATTTTACATCATGATAGTAGATGAGCCCTATGTGGCAATATATAATAAGTCAGCACATAGAACAAAAGCAGGGAGGCTATACAAGCTATAACAGCACACTATGCCTCTAGAGCCTTCCCTGATGGGCCACCACCTGAACTATCGCCTGAAAATGTTAAACCACGGGGTGAGACAAACGCCTCAGTAACCAACTTTCCAACTCATCATACATACTAACATGTGCTCGTGAGGTGTCAAGTGGGATAATTATTAAATCTCAATATATATATCAATGAAAATACAAATATGTATATTCAAATAATCTCAATCATCCAAATCCTCATTACGGGAGCTAACACACAAGCCACATAAGTCTATCCCTCCCTATAGGGGATCAAACCGACCTATAGGCCTATCCCACACTTTGGGGGACGATTAAATAGTCACAAAGATCCATCCCTTATTACAGGCCTATCCCACACTTTGGGGGACGAATAAAAAGCCACAAAGGTCTATCCCTTACTCTAGGGACGAAGGAAGAAACCCACCAATGTGCACCAATGGCGGCCTTACCACGTGGTAGGATAGCGCTCAATCCAAAATCCAAATAACAACCAACCATTCACAATATAATAAAAATGTCTCAATATTTTCCCAGTATAATCCATAAGATATAAATCATATATCTTTTCCAAACTTCTCAATCACAATTCCAAAAATCCCACAAGACAATTTTCATAGCTCAAAAGATATAACATATCTATTCAAGTTCCAAATATCAAATATTATTCTAAAAACAGCAAAATACTCACAAACAACATATTAGCACATATAACAAGTGGAAAGTGGTTACCTCTCGCCAAAGCAATACTAAGGATTACCACAAGGTCAATCCTTTGCTCAACCAATAATTAATCTAAAATATCTTCAAAGCTTAGCCTTCTCCTTCACGAGGACTGCTGCTACGCTCTTTCTATTTCTCTCTCGCTCTCTTTCTCTCCTCCCCTCTCTCTCTCACGCGTTCTCTCCCAACTTCTGCATCCCCTCTCCCTTTTATGCTGCAACTTCTAACTACCCTTTACCATTTTTCCTTCGTGCAATTACTTTTCCTCCCCAAAGTCTTCCTTCTCTCCCCCTAAGTCTTCCTAATCCCATTTTTTCCACACGTCTACCCCATTTTCCACTCTCTCCCAAAATTTCCACCGTAACATTTCAACTTTCCACCAACTTTTGGTGGAAAGTTGACTCTATTTTTTTTTAATTTTTTTTTAATAGGATATTACAGCATGTCCTTCATGTAGGATTTTTCGGTTAGCATTCAGCTGAATCAGCAAGGTAACGGTTAAACGAGACTTTTCTGTTAGCCTAGGATGTGGACACACTGTTTTAATTAGTTTGGGACACTGGATGCACCAAAAATTACTTTAGGATACTAGGCGCACCTAGAAAAATAGTTCAAGGTGCTAGGCGCACCTTAGCTCGTCAAAATAATACACATCAGACGTCTACGTGTCCGCCACATCAGATTTTTCAGTCAACTAACGGTCAAACTTAAGCCCGGGATATGGATCCACCGTTTTAATTAGTTTGGGACATTGGATGCATCGAAAATTACTTTAGGACACTGAGTGCATATGGGAAAATAGTTTGGGGTGTTGGGTGCACCTTAACCTTTTTAAATATTCATGAAGATTAAGCATAACCTCTTAATTAAAAGAACCACGAAGTTTGATTACTTGTAATCTATGTTAATTTTCCAAAGCATTTCTTTTAATTATTTGTATTAAAAACCATTTCTTTTTCTAATTAATACGTAAAGTTTTAAAAAAAATATAAATTTAAAATACAACGTAAACTGAGCAGAAAGAGTATACTATGGGCTGAACAAAATTAAAATCATGATAAATGAATTATGATAATAAAAAGATTTGTTTTAAATCTATGACAAAAAGGAGATTTTTAATTTAATGCGCAGAGAATTTCTTTTTGCTACGTATAGCCATTCTCCTGGAGTATTGGGCACTGAATAAATTTATTTATTTTTTAATTAAAAAATAGGCACTAATAACTAAGACAGTAATTAAAATCTTAATGCTACCACGCTAAAACAAATTAAAAAAGAATTTGTTTTGAGAGCATGTGGGCTTCGAAGTCAGGACTCAGGAGGATCAGATTCACTGTCCACTTGGGTTTTGCTTTATTGACGCTTGACCAATGACCACTCTACTCTTGATCAAAAGTCAAAAAGGTAAAAGAGAATCTCAGGGGCTTCTACTGGTTGCCCAAAAAATAGTGGCTACTACTGTTGGTCCTTGTTTCTGCTTCTTCCTCGCGAGCCATGTTTGGGTTTGGTGTTTCTTCAGCCACCGCCGCCGCCTCAGCCGTTCCCAACCCCAACTCTGTGAACGGTCCCATTCTTGGTGCTTCGCTTTACAACCCTTCTTGTCACTTAAATACCTCTTGTTTCAGTTCTTACCTGCTCGCAAGAACTGAGGTATTCTTTGTAATTTGACTGTAAAGTTTACATCTTTTTATTTTTGTTTTCCTTTTTTTGCTTCTTAAACTTTTGTTGGTCGTTATTGTTTTTCAATGATTTTGGTCTTCAACTGGGTATGTTCAGTTCCGTTCTTCTTCACTGCGCTGGTGCTATATTCCAATCAAAGCCATGGCGGATGCTGACACACTTTCAGTCCCTAAAAGTGCTTCTTCATGCTCTGCTGCTGGTAATTTCTGTTCATTTTATTCTCCTGCTTCATTAGTCTGGGGTTGATTTGCATTGAGCTAATTTATCATTTGTTCCGTATATTGTTAGCTTCATTTAGTTTCAATACCCCAAAATTAGCGAGTGCTCTTTGAAATAGGGGTGTCAAAAGGACTACAGGACAACTGTTTGTTATTTTCTATTAGCTCATTGCATTCAGGCCAGCCGCTAAATTTTGGAGACTACAATCAAATGAGCCTAACAATTTAGGGACCAAACTGTTAATTTACCCATTTACATTCTTTGCACTAAACGGGTTCTTAGTTTTCTTTAACTGTAGAATTCTAGGTTTTTATTCCTTTCTCCTGTATGCTGATACGTTTCAATCATGTAGTGTCATGGGTGACCTTTGATTACAGTACTAAAATAATTTCTTGCTTGTTTTTGTTATGTTGGCCTGAAGCAGGCAACAAGCAAGCATTAATATCATTGTCGGACAAGAAGGATCTTGCTTTTCTTGGGAAAGGGCTCCAGGAATTAGGGTAAATTACTTATGCTTTCTTTTGTTTCTTCATTTTGGGATTTTAAGCATCTTTCTGTCTCTTATTCAAGTTTTTTTTCTAAGAGCAATGTCAGGCTTATTTTGTGCAAAGCAATTTTGTAATGGTCTCAATAATAAATTGTAGATATACTATTGTTTCAACTGGGGGAACAGCTGCTGCACTAGAGAGTGCTGGAGTGACTGTTACTAAAGTTGAACAGCTTACCCAGTTTCCTGAAATGGTGAGTATCCATTTTAGACTGAGTTTCTTATCCCAAAATTTTATAACTAGCATGTTCAATCTTCTATTTATGTGTGTACAGTTTCTTATGTGTTTAAGGTTTTTTTACCCTGTGTCATTGGTATTCGTTCTCATATTTTTGGAGTTTAAGATTCTATGATTCTCTTTTGCAATCTAAATAAATGACCTTGATAGGAAGAATGTTTTGGTATTTCTTCACAGCTCGATGGTCGTGTAAAAACTTTGCACCCCAGTGTACATGGGGGTATTCTTGCACGAAGAGACCAAAAGCATCACATGGAAGCTCTTAAAACACATGGAATTGGTAAAATATATTAACTCTGTCAATACAGTTACATGATGCAAGATATGTCATTAGATCAAACTTTGAGTCCTTCGTACCAATTATGTTTGTGTTGGTTATCTTTATCTGATAGAGTTCTGTTTCAGGTACTTTTGATGTTGTGGTGGTGAATTTGTACCCATTTTATGATAAAGTCACATCAGCCGGTGGCATTGAATTTGAGGATGGGATTGAAAATATTGACATTGGTGGTCCAACAATGATCAGGGCTGCTGCAAAGGTGATTTGTTTGATCAAAAGGGCCGATATGTTGAACTTTTGGAATTAGGCAAAATTTATATGATATTAGAATAACTTTTTGGACTGTGCTTGGCCTTTCGGAATGCCATACTTTTTATTTAAAGGTTGGCATACCTTCCTGAATGGAGTTTATGCTAGTGTAAAAAATGACCTTATCTAGGAGAAAGAAGAAGGGTGACTAAGTTTTGAAATTGTTTAACTAGTATTAGAGCACCAATTTTGTTTTGATGTTGCATCCTTTATTCCCATCAGGGCAAATTTTTTTATAATTGTCTGTGCCCTTTTGTTTTTACTTTTTAAACCAATTCTGGACTTTTGATAGGTTGGTTGCATTGACATTATATTGATATGAGAGGGAGTTAAATGTTTATCAGTTTAATGCTTTTGTTTCTTTTGCCAATCATTTTTAATGCTTCTATGACTTTTTTTTTTTTTTACTTCTTAAAGCTGCATACCTAGAAGATGTATTCTGCTGTGCTGGATGCCCATAAATTGCTTTTAAAGAAAGATAGATGCTATGATAGAGCTGAACATCTGAGTTTTTCTGGTGGAATATCTTATATATAAGCTGATAAGTTCTTCATGGAACAGAATCACAAGGATGTTTTGGTGGTTGTTGATTCTGAAGACTACCCTGCCCTTATTGAATATTTGAAAGGAAACCAGAAGGATCAGAAATTCAGGAGGCAGCTTGCTTGGAAGGCTTTTCATCACGTTACTTCTTATGATTCTGCTGTATCTGAGTGGCTATGGAAGCAGAACGGGGGAGGTGAGTATGCCATAGGTTTATATGAAAATATAATTGAATCATAACATTTATTTGTGAAGTAGAAATGAACATAAAAGAACTAAAACCCTAGGAATGCCTCATTAGCACCCACCAAACTTCAATTTTGAAGCCCCTCGCCCCCCAGGGCCAAAAATTTTTTCCGTCTCTTTCCTGATTTTGATGCTTGAGACATGAATAATCTAAACAAAATGGCTTGTTTCCCTTCTAGCAGCAATATGGATAATGTGTAGGTTACGTATGTGAAATTAAGTACAGGTGGCAATATGATTTAGATAGGTTGATCATTTTAACGGGCACAAATGAGATGTTTTTCCCCTTTTAATTTGGTTGACAGATAAATTTCCTCCTGGCCTAACAGTGCCTCTTTCACTGAAAAGTCATCTTCGATATGGTGAAAATCCTCATCAAAAAGCTGCTTTTTATGTTGATAAAAGTCTTTCTGAGTTTAATACTGGTGGTATAGCAACAGCCATACAACATCATGGAAAGGTGAGGATACAACTTAGTTTTCTTATAATATTTCCGGTGAATATCATTTGTATTTCTCAAAGCCATTATTTTGTGTTTGGGGATAAAAAAATAACATGAATTTATCATAATCTTGTGAGTTGAACTTACACATGTTTGTGATTTTTTTTTTTGGTTCTACGCAGGAGATGTCATATAATAATTATCTAGATGCAGATGCTGCTTGGAACTGTGTGTGTGAGTTTAAGAACCCCACATGTGTAGTAGTAAAGCATACAAATCCATGTGGGGTAGCCTCACGAGATGATATTCTTGAAGCCTATAGGCTTGCTGTGAAAGGTGATCCAGTGAGTGCATTCGGTGGAATTGTAGCTTTCAATGTGGAAGTTGATGAGGTGAATTTTGCTACTAAACTTCAAATGATCAGGAATGTTTTATTGGATGAGTATTTTTTTTGGGAATTTTTCAAATTTGTCAACAATGTTTTGGTTGTCATAGCTATCTGATTTTCGAATATTCATAATCTTACTTTACAAGTTAGCCCTGTACTTGTTAGGTCAAGGGTATGGGCTTGTCATGTCATCTTGAGTTTCTTGTAAAGATAGAGACACTTTCCCTTTCTTAACGTTTTACTGTTTATTATCCAATGAGGGTGACAAAAAGGAAACATTTTACGTTTTGATTTATTGTATTATAGGCTCTTGCAAAGGAGATTAGAGAATTTAGAAGCCCAACTGATGGGGAGACAAGGATGTTTTATGAAATCGTAGTTGCGCCTAGCTATACAGAGAAGGGGCTTGAGGTGCTTCGTGGAAAGTCCAAAACTCTAAGGATTCTTGAGGCCAAAAAGAACGAGCCAGGAAAGCTTTCACTTCGGCAAGTCGGCGGAGGGTGGTTAGCTCAGGATTCAGATGATGTAACCCCAGAAGACATCCAATTTAATGTAGTCTCTGAAAAGTCTCCACAGGAGAGTGAACTTTGCGATGCAGAGTTTGCGTGGTTGTGTGTGAAGCACGTCAAAAGCAATGCTATTGTGATAGCAAAGGTTGCTTTATGTTGTATCTTGATGCCTTGCTTTACTACAGCAGGTTCACCAATCTGATTTTTTTCTTTGGATCAATTTTGGCAGGACAAACGTATGTTAGGCATGGGAAGTGGACAGCCGAACCGTCTGGAGAGTTTAAGAATAGCTATGAGAAAGGCTGGAGATGAGGTTAAAGGGGCAGCTTTAGCTAGTGATGCTTTCTTCCCATTTGGTAAGTATTTCCATCTAATTAACTACTTGCAGTATCAGTACGTGGGAAATAATGACGAGTTGGTTAAAATGGAGAATAGTTAGTTGTTAGGTGTTGGGTGTTTCAGAGAGTACAATTGCTTGATACGAGACTAGCTAGGAGCTTTATTTTGATCCTGAACATTAGACTTTAACCCACTTTGTCCTCCAAATTTATAATTTTTTTCTCAAATTATCCATATTGATTGTATAAACTAAAAGAGTTTCCATTGAATGGTAGTTTCAATGCAATTGATTAAAAAGGGTATTTTAGGGAAATCATTACACATTTTTGACAAATAATTAAATTAAATTAATTTTTTTAATCTCTGCAAATTAATTATCTAGATTTTATATTGGGGACTGGGAGTAAATATTAGGCTAAGATTTATCCACATTCCAATATTGTATGTTCAAAAACAAACTGTCTAGTCAACTTGTACTGTATGGAGATAATGATGGGTTCAGACAAGACTAACTGAGACTATCCCACCCCATGTCTGTGTCAAATCTAAACAATAAAGGTTTAGTTTTTCGTTTAACTTGCTCCAAACCTCGGTTAAATGTCGATTTATCCGACTTAATCACGGCAAAGATTTTTGGAACATCTCTGAACACAGTGCTGTCTCTTGGTTTATATATGCAGCTTGGAATGATGCAGTGGAAGAAGCATGTCAAAGTGGAATAGGTGTAATTGCAGAACCGGGTGGTAGTATCAGAGACAAGGATGCTATAGATTGTTGCAACAAGTATGGTGTTTCACTATTTTTCACCAATTTGAGGCACTTCAGGCATTAATTAATAATGGGAAGATGATGAGTTTGAATGTTTACTATTCTGTTTTGGGACTCACAAGCTCAAATCTGCTTTTCACCATTTCAAGTGGCTGAATGAGTAAGATTGTGATGCCATCCTTTTTGTAGACTGGAAAAAAAAAATAGTGTAATAATGTTCCCCATCTTTCTTTAATGTTAACTAAACCTTCCGGTGCATCTAATAAAACTGGAACTAGCTAAACCTTATCGTTTGTTTCCACTGAATAAATGATGGTTGATTACATGATATACATAATGGTATTATGTTACATGGGTTGTAGACTTGCTCCTTATGGTCTTAAAAATGAAAATTAGTAGAGGATTTGCTTTGACACTAAATTAATTCACTTATTTTTCAAATACATATATATATATATATATATATATCTCTCTGTTGCTTGCATATATTAAAAGGGTTTTTTATTGATTAAAATAAACATTTTAAGGGAACCAACATATGTATTTTTCACAAACAACAAAATTAATTTTTTTGAATATATTATAAATTAGTTGTTTTGCCTTTTCACAAACTTAATTAATGAAAAGGTCCTCGGCTGATAATTTTCTATTAACCCATTTGTTATTCATGTGCATACTGAACAGGTTATGGACTTGTGGTAGAAAATTTTTCATTCCCTTTTCTATTCTTTTTCATTACTTTCCATTCAAACCAATTTTTTCTACTAAATCAAATGAGCCCGTATTCTCGAGGCAACTTGGAGATTAATCTTTCTGCTCATAGAAATAAATCTCTTGATCTCTGTTTGGTCTATTTGGTGTGAGGAAAAATGAGCGGAGGAGAGGAGAGGGGAAATGAGGGAACATTTTAATGAACTCGATTGAAGAAATTAAAAAAATGAGATTAAAAAATAATTTTATTATTTTTTATATCACTTTTTTATTAAAATTTTAAAACCCCACTTTTTCAAATTTTTATATAGAGTTCGTTAAAATTTTTCTTTTCCTCCCTTCTTTATCATTTTCCTCATACCAAATAATACCCTAGACTCGTGGCGTGGTGCAGGGTGGGTTGATAGTAGCTCACTAGCTCTTTTTGTGACTTGTGAGTAATCAATGAAATCTTTTGTGTCAGGCTCAACAATCAGACTTCTAAAACTCATCTCAGCTCCTTAAGCACAGCCCATTCTTTGGGTCCATGAGCATTACAATTACAATGATCAAACTAGTTAGAAAACCGGCAATCCAAATTCCGTTATGATCAAGCAGCACAGCTCCACAAGCTGCTCTGTGTAATGTCTGAGTTGGCACCATCAACATTTAGTTTGACAACATTCAGCTTTGAGCCTATTTGAGATAGCATTTAGAATTATTTATAAGTATGTTTTATGTAAGTTGAAATAAAATTCTTCTCGTATACTTACCTCATATTTCATAAATCATGATTGAAAGATTATTTATAAGCTATTTCAAACGAGTGTTTAATAACATACAAGTACTGTAAAATATAAATTGATAGTGTCTAACTCATTCGGCTTTTAAATAAATGAAGATCTTTTGAATAATGGAAAAGGGGGGAGTTGAGGGGAAAAATTAGCTGTCCAAGTTGTTTTAGTAATAGCATTATCCATTATGCTGAAATGAGATTTTAAACTTGAATTTGATGTTGACATGTTTATATTTGTATGGTGGCATGTATTTAAATTATGAAAAATAAAAAAAGAAAAAGTTAGTTGAAATAATTATTTTAATTAATCTTATCAAATTTCGTGAGTATTTTTATTTTAATTAATATTATAAAAGTACAAAAAAAAACTACTTAGAATTTTTTTTTTGGCCGACAGAACTCAGCAGAATTAAATGAATACTTTTTCATGAAATAAAAAATGAAGATGGGCATCTTATCTATTCTTTATAATAATAATAATAATAATAATAATAATAAAGCTAGAATTAAGAGGGGTTAAGAGGGGGTTATCGTTCGCCGGTCCTGCTTCTTCCTGCTCTCCCGCACCGTCAAGCAGCAGAGCCACAACTACTCTGTCTGAAAAGAGAAACATATACTGAACCTGCGATCAACAACTAAGAAGATTTCTGCTTTGCTTTGTCTTCTTCAAGTGTGAATCTCCACTGCTTATCCAACTATCGTCCAATTCAACCCCGGTTTTCTTCTTGTTCTATCCTTGTTTTTCTTAAAATTAGGGGAGGAAATTATATGCATAGTTGGAAAAAGTGTAATACCCGATGCCAGTATTTTCACTTCGTTTGCGTATCGGCGCTTCCAGATTGGATGACTAAGTCCTGTAAAACTTTGAAGCATAAGTGGGGAAAATGAATAAAGGAATGAATAAAACTTCTTTTTAATATCATTCTTTCTTGTTCCTAGCATTCTCTTCTTTCTCAGAAGAAATGGAAATGGGAAAATTTTGAAGAAAAGAGTTGTCTTTTTCAATTGAATACTTCTATTATTGGCTATTTGTGGTACTTGATGCTCTAACAAGTTCTTGATCTGTAGCCAACTTCTTAAAATGCTGCCTTCGATTATTAATCAGGTAACAGTTTGCTTAGACCATCGGGAGAAGCCTACTAAAGGGCCAACATGGCTGCCCAGGCAATCTCTGAAACTGCCCGGAAAATTGTCACACCTGAAACCCTGCGGAATGCAGCCAAACAATCCCAACGCTGCCTTGTCGTCCCCGTGCGTCTCCGTCGTGCCATCAAAAAATACTTGCGAGGTCCCACTCTTCTCTGATTAACCTCCTCATCCTATTTTTACTGTTCACCTACATGATTCCACAATTTCAAGCTTATGTTGATCATGGTGAGTTTGGAATTATAGAGGAGGAGGAGCCACATATGAAGAAGAAAGTCTTAAGACTGTCTCAATCGTTCAATCAAATCAAGGATGTCAACCTTCAGCTGACCACATCCACATCAAAGGAGCTAGTTGAAGATCCTTTCAAGTCTGTTGTACAATCTAAGCGTTGGAAGATTAAGAGCTCGTATGGCGACATTGGTCTCACGTATAGAGATGATGAGACGATTGCTTATGTCGCATCCCGGATGCCTGCTGTTTACTCTGCATGTTATAGAGTACTGAAAGAGGTAGGTGGAGAAACCCTCAGAAAAGCGAAGGGCATATCTCTTAAATTATTAAAAAGTCTAAGCTGAGTGAGGAAGAGGGAGTGAATTTTTGATTCATTCATATTTTGTAATTTCTTGCTAAATATAGTAGTGAACTGTGTATTTTATTAAGTGTAGGACCATTTATTTGATGCCTTAGCCTCTGTAAGGGGTGCATTGTTCTTTTACTACATAGTATTTACATTACTTTGTTGCTACTTACTATTATGAATGAGCAACAAAAAACTTTTAGCATTAAGTAAATTGTTAGTACATTTGTAATGAATCTTCTAAAAAAGTTGGTATTGCATTTCTCCTTTTAGGTTCGCAGGAGACTTCCTGGTTTCTCCCCAGCTAAGGTATTAGATTTTGGTGCTGGAACAGGATCAGCTTTCTGGTAATGGACTGTTGAACTTTGCTCTTGTGAATTGGTGGTTTTGATGTTATAACTTTTGGTGTTTCTCAAATTAATTTGTGGTGATTGAAACTTGCTTATCCAGGGCACTGCGTGAAGTCTGGCCAAAGTCTTTAGAGAAAGTTAATTTAATAGAACCATCACAGTCAATGCAGCGTGCAGGCCAGAGACTGATACAAGGTAATTAGTTATTAATTTTTCTTTAATCTTATTGGTATTTTAGTACTTTCAATTTGAGATGAAAGAGACTAAGATATATGAATTCTTAAGAGAAGGCTAACCAAGCAACTGTCATACATTGGAAATACGTAGTGAAAGAATTTGCACTGATATTGATCATCAGATTCAAGATTTGCTGAACTTTGGTTTCATTTTTGTGAAAACAACTCTTTGTATATTATGCGAATGCAGTTTTGCTAAAACTAGTTTACATGCTTGGCCTCAAATCCGTGATGAAAGATTAGTGATCTGAGATAAGAGATAGGAGCTGGGGCAAATCCAGGTTTTTCGTTTTTCTGTTTTTTTGTTTTTTGTTTTTTTTTTTTTTGGAACTTTCAAGAATTAGGTATCACTTAAGCAAGTTAGAATACACAGGCACTTGGACCTTTATACTGATTGCAGGAAAGTTTTTCTTCTTTAAGCTATTCAGTGGCTGTTGATGATAGAATGAACATTGCAGGAGAAGGAACAGAGCAGCATTTTCTCTTTGTAATGTGAGCTAAAATAATTTAAAGTTGAAACTTTGAAAGATGAAAGAAAAAGAGAAAAAGGTTGTTTATTTTATTGGATGAGAAGATGGCTAGAAAAAGCATGAGAAAACTACTTTTGGATTTTATATTTCTATTGGATGGGAAGATGGCTAGAAAAAGCATGAGAAAACTACTTTTGGATTGTATATTTCTATTGGATGTGAAGATGTTTAGAAAAAGCATGAGAAAACTACTTTTGGAAGAGGCTGGCAAGCAAGCCTTGTTATGCTTGATCCTTCATAAGCACACCCAAATTTTTTTTCAATTGATGATAACTGAATTGTATCAGCTATAGAAATTAACTAGTCTGTTCAGGCCTCAACTGTGCCCTATGGTTCTCCTTGATGCATTATACTATGCAAGTTACATAAATTTATATAATGGATAGCTTTTCTCTTCTTTCTAGAATAAGATTCTTTTTGCCATGGTAGTGAGTCATCGATTTTCATGTTGAGTAGTATCAGGGAAAAAAAGGGATAAGTGATTTCTGCTGCACTCTGTTGAGGGTTCTTTTTGATTTTGCTCAAGATATATTTGTGCATTAATCAGAATTAGGATTGCATATATTGAAATCTGTGAAGGAAGTTAATGATTGATGAAATTATGATTCTTTCCTGTTGATGATCATTCAGGTCAGAAGAATTTGCCACTTATTCATAGCTATGATAGTATTCAAGCACTTTCAAAAAATATTGGTAAATCTGAGAGAAAGCATGACCTTGTAATTGCAGTAAGTCAGTTCTTCTGGTTTATTTTTACTTACGAACTAGTTGTTTGTTCAAGTTCACTGTAATTTTTACATTAAGAGGTCAAAGTAGCTAACCAAGTAAATCAGCCCGGAAACTTTTTCTTCACTAATAACCTAATAATATATATTTTATATATTATCTGTTGAAAATGTACTGGGTTGGCTGGGTTAATCTGCTTGATCTTGCACACTGAAAGTTTTGTAAAAGTGCAGGTCTTACCCGCCGGGGGGGGGGGGGGAATCTCTTGCAACATTCTTCTCACCCATAATTCACAGATTATCTAGAAACATGTTGTTTGCACAAAAGTAAATTATTAGATACAAAACATGAAAATAATTCTGCCTGATTTATTATTAAAAAAAATACATTTTTATGCTTAAATGTTAACCAAGCAGTCAGATTTAAGTTGCAGTTAGATATGCAAAGAACTAAATTGATTATAAGTACTTTGCTTGCTAAACTGTACCTGCCTCTTTATGTTGCTGGTAGTGACACACTTTCTTTTACATATATTTCCAAGCATTTGTTAATGTTTCCTGAAGACGCTAATTAGAAAAGAAAAGAAATATTTAAAGTATTTATGTTTTATTATTATTTCACTAACAACATCCTAGGTTAGTTTTAGGTATTATATCTTCTGGTAATGTTTAATATCTTAGAGGATAAATCTAACATATTAAGAATTAGTGGATATGATGTCTAGGATCCTGGGTTCAGGATTTTGGTTCAGCCTATTTTAATACCTAATGTACATGGCAGTTTAATCATTGAATAAACGAAACAAAGGTTTACCACATCTCTGCATCCTTCATTTCCTTTAATTGATTGTAAGTACTTTTGCAATTTATTCTTATGGGTTAAAGTCCTACGTACTTGGGGAGATACCATCACTAAAGGATCGAATTACCATGGTTCGCCAACTTTGGGATCTAACACAGGATGTTCTGGTATGATCTCAATTTTATAGTTCTTTTAGTTTCAATATTTTGATAATTTTCAAGTACTTATTCATGTAACTCATTAGCTTCTTTTACTTAGTTTTTTTTTTTTTTTTTGGGGGGGGGGGTAAAGAAAAGTTTCCATTTCAGCATATTTTTATGAAGCAAAAAATGTGTTGAAGAAGCTTGTGTGGGTAGTGCTTTTGAGCAGAGCAATTTTTAGTGGGAGAATCATGTGAGGTCCAAAAAAAGAAAAAAAGAATGCAGTCACCAAAAAGTCTCATAAACAAGTGAGTAGTATAGACATGTTATCATTTCCTACACTGGGACTTGCCATTGCATACTATTTACTTGTTGTGAGTGATTACATTCCTTCTTTGGGACCTCATAGCGATTCTCCCATTCTTCATTTCAAAATTTCCACATGTCTGGTCCTTTGTGATACTCAAGCTAATGATGTCTCATTTCTGAAATCAACATCTGGTAGGTTTTGGTTGAACCTGGCACACCTCACGGATCTAATATTATAGCTCAGATGAGATCTCATATACTATGGATGGAAAAAAGGGTAAAACTAACTGTTCCTTTTATATCGTTATTTGAGAAGTTTGAAATGGAGATGATTGTCGTTTTTCTTTCAAAGTATGTCTTTTCCCTTTGTGGTTGTGCTTCTATTTAAATATTCTGTTGTTATGAGCAATAAAATCTTCAAACTTTCTAGAAATTCCGTAAAATTGCCCATGGGAACATTGGAGATTGTAAAGACTTGATCACTCAGAAAACTGGGGCTTTTGTTGTTGCTCCTGTAAGTATGTTGCATTTTGACTTAACTTCTGTTTTCCACATTGCAGTTCACCATACCACTCCGGTCCTTATTATAAGTTACTTGTAAGAGAAAAGTTTGGTCCTAAATACAAATCACTTTTGAGTGTTATTAATGACCATGTTCAAATTTTACCCTTATTTAATTTCTATTGGAAAGAGAGAAAGACGAGAGAGAGGTGAGGATGATCTATTAATGTAGAGAGGGGGAATTTAATAAGGACAAATTTGGAGAACTTCATCAATTTAAGACTTATTCAATGACTTAAATGTCATTCCTTGCTATGTGAGAATGAGTTGCAGATGACTTATATAATGAGGACCGAAGTGGTATTCACTTTCTGTCTACTTCCCTGCCCCCTCCTCTTTTTCATCACTGTCTTCTTGTCTGATAAGTTTTCATTGAGCAGTGTCCTCATGATGGCCCTTGTCCTCTGGTAAAAACTGGAAAATACTGTCATTTTGTTCAACGCTTGGAGAGGACATCTTCACAGCGTGCATACAAGGTTTTTCTTTAAATCTTCAACTTGTTTAGTCAGAAGGAGTCTCATGGCTGATGCATTCTTATTTCCCTCTTTTCCTGTTAAAAATTACAATCATAATGAGAAATACACTTTTATTCTAACAACTATATAACTTTATAGCGTTCCAAAGGTGAGCCCTTGCGAGGATTTGAAGATGAGAAGTTTTCTTATGTTGCTTTCAGACGAGGGCAAAGACCAATGTGAGTGCTTTAAATAATCTTTTCAAGCTTGTAGATCAGTAATATATAAATAAAATAACAAAACAGATTTTAAGAGTTCTCTCTCACGTAACTTTGAGATGTGGTCATTTATCTCACCTCTGCACCAAAAACATGGATATTCTTCTTTTTCCTAGTTAATGCATTATTTTTCCTCTGTTTTTATGGTTATACCTTTTATTCTTAAGCCAATAAATGTTTTTTTATTGTCTTTTTGGCCATTGAGCAATATGATTGGGAGCCATGTCTTGTAGGACTTTATTTCATTTATTCATGCTGTAGAATAAATTTGTGATCGTTTGGCTCATCGATTGGACCAGGGAACCTTGGCCTCTTGATGGCATGCGATTTGAGACCTTAAAGGAGCAGCAGGCCAAAAGAAATCCGGAGGATCTTGAAATTGACTATGGTATTCCTTAAACTTGTACATACATGCTTTTTGTTAATGATTGGGTTTGGCGCGCCACTAATCTAGATTACAAAGTTAGATTGAACCATTTCTAACTCTGACCTATTAAAATGATGGCCGAACAATGTTGGGCAAGGCTAGTCCTATGGACAGAAATTTTATTTTTTCCCCCTTGTTGAAAAGTTACTAAAATTATGAATAGTAAGCTGGTATAGTTAATTAACCTATTTACCTTGTCAGTTAATGACGTATTAGTTTTTTTATACCTTTTACATACCATCCAAGATGGCGAACCAAATTGGGCTGGGTTGAGTTTGGTTGGCTCATTCTGATTCTTTTACTTTGCCCAGTCTTTGGGGAAGTGTCTCAAAAACAAACTTTTTTGTTTCGTATTTTTATCTGTTTCCTTTTTCCTTGTCAGAGGACTTGTTGAAGTTACAAGAACCTGGTGATTCTGCTTATGAAGAAAAGGATTTGGTTGCTTATGATTCTGACGTTGTCGAAACAGAGGGTGCTGATGACAATGAAGAGGATGGGGAGGGAGAGGAAGATGGGGTTGGTGCTGCTGATCTGGGTGGTGGCTGGGGAAGAATAGTTTTTATGCCTGTTAGGAGGGGTAGACAGGTAGCTATGAATGTTTGTAGATCCACCAACAGGGATGCATCAGAGGGTTCTTTTGATCGTATTGTTGTTACACAGAGCAAAAATCCTACATTGCATCATCAAGCCAAAAGATCCATCTGGGGTGACCTGTGGCCCTGTTAAAGCGAAGCAATTTTGGGTGCAAAATGGTAAAATTCTCTTTCTTCTGGGCCGGACCACCCTGCTAGCCATTTTTTATTTTGGTGTGCTTGGTCAGACCCAAAAGGCCCAAGGAACCCCATTACAAAGATGGGAGCTCTTTTATTCTATACCTCTCGTCCTTCTTTTTAGCCAACTTGGCATGTGTTGGAAGGGTGGTGCCAACAATTAGATTATGTTGGGGGGAATTTTTCAATTTTTTGAAAATGTAAGATTTCTTCGGAAAATAAGTTTTCTGTATTTTGATGGCTTGGTCAAGCTGAAATTCATCCTATTGGTGGTGTTTTATGTTCAGGGTAGGATACATTATTTTTATATATCATATAAATTGATCTGCTGGAAGTTTAAATGCTGAAGGTAGATATTTATTTTTGGCATACGAGTGAAGAATGATATAGTTAATGATTGCAATTGTATCTGTTTTCTCAGAACATTTATCTATCATCTCCAAATAAAGTTTCAGTATGAACCATTTACTATTTAATAGGTGTAACTTCATTTTAAACGAAATTCATATACTTTATGCTTCATATTTAGAATGATAATTTTAATATCATTTGTTAACCGGATTTGTCTCAATTTGTTTGAATTGAATTGAGTAAGTTAATTGAGGAACAAGTCTAAAAAATGTATTCGATCAACTCAACAGGTTTTCCTTCGAGTCAATGAGTATTTTCTGTCATTTTAGAATTATAATGAGTGATATATACTCATTCCACTCACGTTCTATGGTTGTATTCTTTCCTAGGTTATCTGTTTTGCAGAAAAATTTGCAATTTTCATATAATCTTCATGGAATTCAAGTGAGAAAAATATAATACCCCACAAGACTTACTAGTGGCAAAAAAGTTTTAAAAAAACTATAAATAGTGCAAAAATTAAATAATGGAAGAGAGCTGCAAATGACAAATATTCATAAGCAAAATCATTTGGCTTCCTGCTTTTTTTAGTATATACGTTGATATTGATTTCATCCAATACTAAAACAGGTTAGCAATAGTTTGAGAAACTATCACCAGAAGCGTGTTACAACCAAAAAAACATGGAAGTTTTAAGCAACTGAAAACTAAGCCTAACAATGTGAACTTACTACATGGTTTTCAATCCATGATTAGAACAGGCAAGCAGTTGAGGAAATGAGAGAAAAGGCTCGCCAGAAAGTGGGATTGCAAGAGAGCTTGGAAGTGCAAATGCTCAGAAAAGTAAACTGTGATAGAATGCTCAGTGTTTGAGCATCCTGGGGAGGAGGAAAGAGAGTGATTTAAGCCCTTTGGGGTTGGGGGTGGGGGGGGGGGGGGGGGGAAGGAAAATGGATTGGCTGACTGTGGATTAGGGCCATTTCAATTCGACCATGTCACACTGAGGAGGTAATTCTTTGGATAAGTGTGAACTGGGGTCCAAGAACGATTTAAAAACAAAAGGTGCGCAAGCTAAAGAAATGAAGCTTCAGCCCCTCGAAATGACAACATAGACATACCCCATGAGTGCATGAAATTCACCAATACAAAGAAAGTGAGACATGACGCAGTGGGACGAAGATGGATGAAGATGCAAACGTGACGGATTGGTAAGCATGCGTCAAATGTAGAAAAGCTACACAATTGTCACTTAAAACTTTCATGAGTTCGCAACACTTCTCTGTCAAAAAGCATTAATTACATTTCACCTCCCTTTATTTATTTATTTACTTCTCATTTGTAACATTTGATCGTTTAATACTATTCTGTTTGTTTGTGCTAACTAGCAACTTAACATCCGAGAAAATTACCAGGGACGGCTCAATGCTCCTTCGTCCAAGTCAAATCATGTTGGCCTATAATTTGTTGCTTCTCTCTCATATGCCTGACGACACAACTTGTTCCAAAAGGCATATTAGGATTTAGGAGCAGAAAAAACCTGTCCTGCAATCTTTCAGCATCCTTATTGTTTGAAAATTATGTTATTTTCAAATTGGTATCGTAACTATTTTCACTCAAACGTTCCTTAAGGCTTTTGAACAGTTTGTTACCAATTTGTGCATTAATATATTAAAATACCTCATTGGGAGCATGTTTTTAATCGAACAAGTTTTTTAATTGCTTGGAAATTAATTGAAGAAGGTTTCCATAAACAATCCAAACCACTCGCATTCTATCTCCTATTTCATTTCTCATTCAATTTCCTCTACCGCCTCCTTCGCACCACTTCCAGGTGCACCCTTGTACACCGATGCAACATGTTCACTACGAATTCATGACTTTCCATCTCGTGCTTATGACATTGAAATAATAATACGAAAATGGTGACACCTCGGTTCAAAAATAAATTTAAAAAAGAGAAAAGCAATAGTATCATATAACGGACTCAACAACATAGCATGAAGTATGTCCTTTTTAAGAAACATTCAATAACTAAAGCCAAAATTTGCCCATCACATTTAAACACATCTATCTCCGAGGAAAAACTCAAACCCTAAATGTATTTTGCTAGGATAGTCCTCAACAATTCACAGATCAAGGGGCCACCACAATCCTTCCAGCCACTTGGTCAAGATCCCTCTGACCATTTGAAGTGATTTTCCTGCCACTGAGAAATCAAGTTCGAGACATTTCAGATCAATGTTCAAATGAATCTTAGACCATTAGAATGATAAAACAGTCAATGATCAATAACCACGTAGGTAAAACAGCAGCATGTTTCTAAAACAGTTACCGGCTGATATTCGACAAATGCTGGGGCATTGAAGAGAACAAAATAGCCATTCAAGGGTCAACAATAGGAGACCAGTAATAGGTAATATCCTTAATGTTCATGAAAAGCATTTAAACTCCTGCAAATTGACAAGAAAAAAAGAGTAATTACCCCTTGGCATCGATTTCAATGATGTTCATGCTCTGCAACTGCTGAAGAATGTGACGAGCAATAGCACCACTGCTCTTGCAGAAATGAGGGGGACGGCTACCATTCCTCTGGCTCCCACCATAGATCCGCTGGAAAGAACCAACACCAAGACCCCCTCTCAAGTAGATCTTCCTAGCCATGGAGGCTGCAACCAAAGATTAAGATAAGTTCCAAAACTTATCAGGCCTCTTCCAGCAAAATGCAGGAGAAAATTTTTCCAGAAGTCATTGTGACTACTCAACCTTTTTGTTATTTTCGGGAACATTGTGACTACACATATGAGGACAAAAACTTGCATCAGTAAGCAAACGAACGAACAAAATCTGAGAGATTAAACTCACCAGCCCTGACATAGTACCAATCAGGATCATATGGAGCCAGCTCCTTGAATCTTGCAGTCTTCACAATATCTGTCCACTCGGGAAGCTCCATCTGTTCAGAATTAAATAATCGTAAATAACTAAAAACAGTCAACCCTGAAAAATTCAGCTCTAATAAAAGCTGCACCAGATAAATTATATAACAGAAAATTAATGCTCGAAGAGTCTCAATCTAATTGACAAATGACAAATTATACCACTAAAACCACTAAATTTTGACCATGATGTCAGCTCCAGCTAAAATACCAGCACAAAATTATATATATTAAAGAGGAAACAAATAAGTTGCTACTAGTATAGTACAACACAGGGAATACTCATCAGCTGGCATTGGTATTCACCTCAATATTGCAAATAACTTCCCACAAACACAATCATCCACGAAGAAAATCCTAAGATCAAACATAAGCAAGCTCCACCGAATGAATTACCACAAGAAGCCATGGTATTTCGAAAAAGAAAATCAAGCCAGGTTTGTGAAAAAAGAGAAAATAGAAAAGACCACAATATTCTACATAGGAAACACAAAGCATGTAATACTAAGTTTTGAAAGGCATTCTACTTAGCATGGAAAAGCAAGGAAGGATTTGGCACATTGCCAATCAATCCATTGTCATCTGAACACAAGGAAGATGAAGAACCCATCCCCAGCTAATATTCCAGTGCTTTCCCAAAGAAACAAAGGAGGGAAGAAGATACCTTGCCAGATCGCTTGAGATGAGCAGAATAAGCCTTCACGAACTCATGAGGCGAGACGTCCTTGACAGTTCTAGCAGTAGCCATGGTTGAAGCAGAGAGAGGGAGAGCGAGAGAGAAACCCGGGAGCTGATAGCCGCTTGAGGAGTGGGAGGAGAAGAAGACGGCTCTGCGAACTAGGGTTTCTTGAATATTGTATGCGTAAATATTATCCTTCCGCATGAGGGTCTATGGATCTTTCTTCGACTGACCCGACCCGATAAAGTAATATGGGCCCTCATATTATGTTAGGCCGCTAGGCCTCTAATAACACAAGGGCCAGCTCCAAACCAAATTTACAGGCATTTTAATTATCAGTATCAAATACGATACTATCTCTTGTCCTTAATATAAAATCCTATTTAATTTTTATTTTGATTTTAAATATAAGACCCTGATTCACTTTATTTTTTATATTTGTGTATTTTTTTCTAAGATAGTTCTTCTAATAATTTTAGTTCTAGCCAATACAGTTGATTAGTAAGGATAATCTAGGAAAGACAACAACTATTTATTACAAATAACTAACTTAACTTCTTTTCTTAATCTCTTCAAATTAGTCAACTGGATCTTATAATTAGGACCAGAGGTAGTATTATAAAATTGAATTTTAAATATAGTAAATTTATCTCCTAAATAATTTTTCTTCTACTTAAAAATTTAATAAAAATATGCAAGATTTTGAAATTTTAAGAAAACAACATACTTGTGCTGAATTTGAGACACCCTTATGTATTTGAAAAACAAAGAGTTGACGACAAAAAATAGAAAAACAAATGATGTTTTGTTTCCCGAACTAAGTGGAGTTTTTTTTTAATGTAGAAATCAATGTATATAATAGTGATATCAAGATTAAAATTAAAATTTTGAATGATATTTTATTTTCTGCTTTCATAAAAGTCAGAATATATAATACTCTGGCAAAAAAAAAAATCAGAATATATAATACATTTAGTGACATGAGACTTTTTTTTTAAGTGAGAGATTGTGAGTTTGGTCTTGTCGCTACCTAAAAATTCATAATTTTCACGATAATTAAACTAATAAAAAGTGACTGCCAAAAAAGGATCGAATAAAAACTGAATTGAAAGTGTATTTACTTTACACCTAGATTTTAAAGAAGAAACACAAAGGTGTGTAGCTGACAGAAGGGATGCAAAAGTTAATGCCAAAAAGAAACCAAAAAGCTCAATACCACACAGTTATCAGGAATATTTTACACAAGACTTTATTTAATGCTCTTTAAAATTTTTCAATCAAATTAGCCACAATAATATGTAATATAGCCATATGCCTCCACCCATACAACACTTGCCATAGCATTTGACCACTTGGAAAAAGAACAAACATCAGAGAAAATGTTTGTTACGTTATTTCTCCACAACAGAGAACAGACCAACCACCAACACCATATAGGCACAAAGTTTCAGGTTCTCTAGCAAGAAACCATCTTTATGTTTCATCCTCAGCTTCATCATTAT